AATTACTAGCACGTGGGGACACACCGTTCTCACCAGTGCCAGGGTTTTCATAGGAGGCGGGCAATACCCCCACTTTGTGGGGGGGCCGGTTCAAGCTCTACCAAATTTCCTAACGACTCTTCGCCACCACCCACACCCAGCTTCCCGCCCTATGACGTTCGGACACTTCACTTCGTGCATGCGGACGACCGTGGCTACTATTCAGGGCCCCGCGGCCGACGACGACGGCGTGCGCGCGCGAAGAAAAAACGAATGTGTCCCGCATGGTATTATTTGACCGGGATGATGGCCCTGGCAGGTGCGCAACCGTTGTTGCAGAAGTTCGAAAAAGTTGCTCGCAAAAGCCCGTTTGACAGAAATGTTTCAAAAGTGTTGGTTTTCCTACGAATCCGCAAGAGCGCGCGGGATGAGATTTTGACATTTTTTTGTTGAAAAACCATTGGTTTTTTGATGTTTTTATGTTAAAATCGTTCCGAACACTAAGCTTTTGGAAGGATTTCGTCTTGCGCGCGCTAATGTCCACTTTACCTTATTTTTTGCAAGGGATTCTTGAAATTTGATTATATTAGAACAAGAAATGTCATTTTCTATTGTTTTTTGCAAGGGAAAGCGGATTACAACAAAACAACCGGATCCTGTACACACCCTCTTTTCTGAGGCTTCCTCACGAAACTGAACGCACCAGGGGGCCCACAACCACAACAACAACCACAACAACGACAGCATTCATGTTGAGACCGTTCGCTATTTGTCTGTTCGCGTGCCATTCATCACGTAGATCCCAAACCCTCGGTACCCGCCCTATTCGTCTTCGATCGTGCCCCTTCTTTTTCCCCATATCCAAAGGATGGGGAAATTGTTAATAGTCTGACCGCGCCGACTCCTTCTTCAGGTCACCTCTTCTCCTCCTCCGTCTCTTCCCCCTCCCATTCAGAGTATGGTGACGAAGAGTATGGTGCTGATGGTGTTGGTGATGATGATGCTGATGGTCATGATGATGATGATGGAACGTGATGATGATGCTGTTGATGATGATTATGACGATGATGAGAAGAAGATGCTGATGATGATGATGCTGCTGCTGCTGCTGCTGCTGATGATGATGATGATGATGATGATGATAATGGTAGTGGTAATGATGAGGATGATGATCAGAGGGGGGCAGCGTGTGAGGATGTCTCGAGCAGTTTGCCTGTTTGGGTGGCCAGACTCGTCTGCGCTCAGAGCAGCTGTTGAGGATGTCTCGAGCGGCTTGCTGGTTCCAGCACTCCGAAGGGGGGGGAGGGGGGGGCGTCAGGGGTATTGCAGGGCCTCCGTTCGCGCCCCGAGTGCGGGGATGTCTCGAGCGAGGCGCCCGTTTCGGTGCTCAGCATCCTCCGCTTTCGGAGCAGATGTGGAGGATGTCTCGAGCGAAGCGCTCATTTTTGCCCCCGAGGGGGGGGGCAGGGGGGGGGCAGATCTTGAGGAACGGTTTGCTTATTTTGCCGGCCAGACTCGTGGGCACGGATCCTCTTCAGTATGCCACAGGAGGCTTCGGGAGGCCACAGGAGATATAAGGAGCTATCAGGACGCCACAGGAGGTCACAGGAGGCCCCAGGAGGCTCCAGGAGGCCCCAGAGGCCTTTGGAGGATGTCTCGAGCGAGGCGCTCATGTTCGCCCCCAAGGGGGGGCAGATGTTGAGGATGTCTCGAGTGGTTTGCCGATTCTGCTGGCCAGACTCGTGGCCACGGATCTCCACCAGGATGCCACAGGAGGCTCCAGCAGGCTCCAGGAGGCTCCAGGAGGCCGTGCGAGGTACCAGGAGGTATCAGGATGCCACAGGAGGCCGCAGGAGGCCCCAGGAGGCGCCAGGAGGCCCCACAAGGCCCCAAGAGGGTCCAGGAGGCCCCAGGAGGCTTCAGGAGGCCCCATGTGCCCTTGCTGTCCCTATATCCAAAGGATGGGTTTCGTGCGAATGCTCCGGCCGCACCGAATTTCTCACACGCACACACACGCCACTCCCGCGTCCTTCTCATGTTATGTTATGGTATGGTATTGTATGCGAAAGTATGCTATGTCATGCAATGGTATGGTATAGTATGTTATGTGATGGCATGTCCTGAGATGTTGTGTTATGAAACGATGTGACATGGCGTGGTATGTTATGTTTTGAGTTGCTACGCAATGGTATGTTATGCGACCTCTTCCCGTCCTTCCTCCTCCATTCCCCCTTCTTCTTCTTATGTATATATACATAAATATATGTATATATAAACTTCTCCGTGTCGCACCCCGAGGCCAGTTTTTATGGCGGGCCAGGCGTGTCGCCATAGACTCCCTCACCATTTATGAGCCTGGAGCTCCCAAAACAGCAACGGTTTCACAGATGGAGGGCTGGCCGGTTTCAAAATGTGACTCTCGCCTTAGCGCCGCGTACATTCGCTTTCAACCTCTGCAAGAGCTTCACGGGTTGAGGGCGAATCGTTTTGAAAATGTGGCTCTCGCCTCAGCGCCGCGCACATTCGTTCTAAAACATGCAAACGGCTTCACGGATTGAGGGCGGTTCCTTTTCAAAATGCGGTTCTCACCTCAGCACGCGCACATTCGCCCTAAAACTTGCAAGGGCTTCACGGATTGAGGGCGGTGCCTTTTCAAAATGCGGTTCTCGCTTTAGCACCGCGCACATTTGCCTCTAAACTTGCAAGGGTTTCACGGATTCCCATGGTAAGCGTAACAGAAATTGTGGTTTGGAAGGGCTCAGGATTATGAGGGTGCAACAGTTAACATAGATTCGCGGTGTTGACGCCCCAAGAATGGCATTCTGGCACGACTCAGGATCGTAAAGACACAGCAGTCAAGTTGATCCGTGGCGTTGGAATCCCGAGACCAATGTTTTGACATGCTTCACGATCCTCAAACAGTTGTCTTTCAACGAGGCAGTTCGCTCAGTGGGAAAGAACCTTCGTAGGGGCCTATGAAGCGGGAGCTTGGAGGGAGGGTTTATTCCAACATCGTGCATGACTCTTGGGCCAACACTGGTCATACACCTCTTCCTCGTCCTCGTGCGCCTCCGCCTCCTCCCCATCATCGTAACACTATAGAGCGATTCTCACCCACCGGCACCGGCACCGGCACCGGCACCGGCACCGGCACCGGCACCGGCATCGGCACCGGCATCGGCACAGGCACTGGATAGCACCGGCACCGGCACCGGCACCGGCACCGGCACCGGCACAGGCACCGGCACCGGCACCAGCACCCGCACCTGCATGCACCGGCATGGCACCGGCACCGGCGCCAGCACCGGCTCAGGGGAGGGGGGTTTGGATCCCCACCCTCCCCCCTTTGGCGCTGGAAAGGGGGGGGTTCGGACCGCCCCCCCCCTCGCCGGAAAGGGGGAAAGGGAACCGGGGATGGGGGCCTCTCTCGCTTTTCCCGTCTGCGCCAGAGAAGGTGTGTAGGGAGTGTGGAGGTGGGAGTAGGGAGTAGGGAGTAGTGAGTAGTGAGTAGTGACTTAGTGCGTAGTGAGTAGTGAGTATTGGGTAATGAGTAGTGGGTAGTGACTGGCGAGTAGGGAGTCGGGAGCTTGGAGTGGGGAGTAGAAAATAATGAATAGTGAGTAGTGTGTACTGATAAGTGAGTAGTGCGTAGCGAGTAGTGAGTAGTGAGTAGTGAGTGGCGAGTAGCGAGAAGTGAGTACTGAGTAGGGAGTAGGGAGTAATGAGTAGTGGATAGTGAGTAATGGGTACTGAGTGGTGGGTGGCGACTAATGATCTGTGCGTAGTGAGTATAGTGCGTAGTGCGTAGTGCGTAGTGAGGGAGTAGTGAGCAGTGAGTAGTAAGAAGTGGGTAGCGAGTAGTGGGTAGCGAGTAGCGAGTAGCGATTAGTGAGTAGTGGGTAATAGTGACTAGACACTAGTGTCTAGAGACTAGTGACTAGTGAGTAGGGAGTAGTGAGTAGTGAGTAGTGAGTAGCGGGGAGCGAGTAGCGAGTATTGAATAGCGAGTATGGGGGTAGCGAGTAGTGAGTAGTAAGTACTGTGTAGTCAGTACTATGTAGAGAGTAAGGTGTAGCGAATAGCGAGTAGTGGATAGTGAGTAGTGAGTTGTGGGCAATGAGTAGTGAGTAGTGAGTAGTGGATAGTGGTTAGTGGGTAATGCGGAGTGATTGGTGAGTAGTGAGTAGGGAGTAGTGAGTAGTGATTAGTGAGTAGTGAGTATTGAGTAGTGGGTAGTAAGGAGTGAGTAGTGAGTAGTACGTAGGGAGGAGGGAGTAGTGAGTACGGAGTAGTGAGTAGCGAGTAG